CTCAAATGGCCTCCACAGTCACCAGATCTCAATCCAATAGAGCATCTTTGGGATGTGGTGGAACGGGAGATTCTCATCATGGATGTGCAGCCGACAAATCTGCGGCAACTGTGTGATGCCATCATGTCAATATGGACCCAACTCAATGAGGAATGCTTCCAGCACCTTGTTGAATCTATGCCACGAAGAATTGAGGCAGTTCTGAAGGCAAAAGGGGGACCAACCCGTTACTAGCATGGGGTACCTAATAAAGTGGCCGGTGAGTGTAAATGTTGGGAGAACCTGACCTATAATTATCTTTCTGGTGGTGTTTTAGGCTTCTACAGGGGAAGCTTAATGGATCTCTGTGAACTGCAGGACATAATTTATAAATCTATCTGCATTTATTTAATTTTTTAAATCAAAACCATCATAGTAGAAATATACTTGGTAAATGTCCTGTTGTTGTCAGGGTATTCACACAAGCGTGGGCTATCATGATTAGCATCCCATCCCATCTGGTCAGTGCTTATCAGTTAAAAGTCAGTCCACAATATATGTAAACACCTACACTTAACCAGCTATAGGATGCATTAAATTACTCCACCTCTTTGCATCATGCATAATATTCCTGAGCTTTTAGGTTGCGCTGGTCATTTGCATGCATAGAGAATAGCACATAAGAGGCCTCAGAAGGTTTAAAACTGCAGCTGTTGCTCTTAAAAGTCAATTAAACGAAAATGCTCTGTTAGGAACACCCACATGCATACACATTTGTTTAATAAAAATTGCTGAATGTGTCAAGATAAATTTTAGGGCCGGATATATGAGCTTTGTCCTTACCTGCACTCACAGTGATGGCTTCAATAAACTGGTCTCTCCAGCTGTTGGTACCTACCAACAGAGCTAAGTTGGTCTTCTTTATCAGCTTGTCCACCGTATTCTGTCAAACAGAGAAAGAAAAAATCATATTTATCTAAAAAGATATATATATATTTTTTCAAAACCAGTTTCAGGAGATATAAGTATCGGCTCCATGGTAACACAAACTAAAGGACAAATCTTTTTTATGTTTCTTCAGTGTTACGAATTATTGCAAGTAAATTAATGGAAATTTATTGCAATTGAAATCATGGAATAAAAGATAGTTGACTGGCCTGTCATCTGGTCTGGTTACCAGTATTGAGTATTCATATTGGGGACTGAGCCTTTTAAACTCCGGAGAAACTTTTTTACCTTTTAAAGCATCATGATGTTTTTTTTTTTTGTATTAATTTGTTCAGATAAATCATTCCCCTTCTGTTTTGGTCAAATATAACAGTATGCCACTGTTGTGAGTGTCTCTCTATGATGCAGTTCAGCCTGTGATTGTTGCTTCACCACTTCAGACCCCAGCTCTGTCGTCCTCGCCCTGCATTGCCAACTGATGCTATAAAAACTCTATAAAAAGTAGAGAACATTTCCCATTTTATGTTTGTTCTTTTGTTTTTATTTTGAAAACACTGTGTACTTTTTGGTAAAAAGAATTAGGAGTCTTAACAGGTTCTGTAACCATAAATACTTTTATTCAACTTTTTAAGCATCTTTACGGACCTGATGTGTGTACAAGGTTTCTTCATTAAACAATAGAATTAATCTTATTTGTCTTCAAACAATCACCTTTCACAGTTTTACAAATATCGTAATCTACACTGCTATTTTGTTTCATTGTTTATCTGTTGTTTTTCTAACATTTGGGTGCCAATTATTCCAGTTTTAATGAAAGGAACCATGTCAGATTAGGGTAACACAAACACTTCAGCAAATGCATGCACTCACATTCTAATCAAAGGAAGCAGTAGGAATTGTGCCCTTCTTTTTGGTTCACTTCAGAGGAAAAACAGGATGCTAATTGGGCTGAATGGTGCTTAGGGATGTAAAAAGGGTCCCCCTGCTGCCGTTAAACTCCTCCTTCCAACACACACACACACACACATATACACGCGCATCTATATGAACTCTTTTGTATTCTCATTTACAAAATAGCTAGATTTTTAGATCAGCTCTTCCCCTTTTCTGAATGATTACTGTTTTTTTTAATCTAATTTACTGTACATATGTACCAGTACTATGGTAGTATATCAGTGTAAAGGTGGATATGTAAAATACTACACCTTTACTGCCTCCACAGTCTGGATTTAGACAAAATCTTTAAGGATCAAGTCTTACCCAGATTAAGATTTGAGGGTTTTAACAACATAATTTAGATAAAAATAATTTGCAAGCAAATGGTTTTCTTTATCATTTGGATCAAAAACAGTTGCTAAATATAATGGATAAGATTAATATTGTACTTTTTAAATAGGATTTAAACCTCAGATAAACTCTTAATTTAACTATAAATTTGCACAAAATCTTCTGCCTTTTTGCCATCTGATATCAGACCCCATTACTGTACGCTCTACATCCCACTAACAGTCACCACTTTAGATAACTATAGGATCTAGTTTCACAAAGATTCACACAGATGTATAATTTCATGCACTGGAGCTCTTGACAAAGTATTGGATCTTGTCAAGTAGCAAGCCATTACTGGGAGTTATTAATTGTCTGCCTAAAGTGAGCATGTAGGTGGAGCGACCGGCAAAAGAACATGCATTAGAGCACACAAAATGTAACGTGGACGGTAATTACATCAAAGCCCATCTTAAGAGAGTGCGTGGGAGAAGTGAGGAAACGACATACAGATGTTATGCAACTATTTCCTACTTGCAGAACGGTTCATCCAATGCATTTGGTAGTTTGCTTTGGTTAGATTATGTGGGCTTTTGTGACAGTAACAATTTAACTAAGAAATATGACTGTCTCATTGACTGTAATAAAAAAAAGATGCGTTTCTCATTTTGTCTCAATACACAAAACATAAATAGCTTCACAGCAGGTGCAGGAGTGGCTACATACTGTATTTCAGTCTGAGCTTTCCATTAAAAATACGTCTGCATGCACAGGGATCACAAAATTCTACTTAGTACTGTTAAATCTCTGTTTTGCTTTAAAATTGTCTCTAAAACTGGCTTTTCAAGCCTCCGGCCAAAACACTGCTTATTTGTCATTTTTCCTTAATGCTTTTTTAAGAGATGTTTCTCTCTACCCAAAGGAAAGAGAGAGGCCACTTCACTGTGCAGGAGTCCCTGTTTGAGGCCAAACAGAGGGGTGAAGGTTAATGCTCTCCTTCAGCTGGGTAAAGTGGTGATCACAGAGTGGCAGGTGTTTACAGGACAGGTGGCATGTCTCATCACATATCTCTGACCTACACTAATGCTTCAGCAGTGACAAAAATAACCTCTTCCCTGAAAACATTTAGCTTCTGCTTGATGAAAACAACGTTAAATTGTAAAAGGCCCTTATTTGCTATTTGTGATATAAGCAAACTAGGGCTAAAACAATCAGATTAATCGATTATCAACAACTAATTTAGTGATCGATGAATCAAGAATAGAGACCCTAAAACGTGTCTTTAGCTGACAGAATAACCCACTTAGAGCAGTAATTCTACAAAGTTTGTAAAAGAAATAAGTAATCGTTTTGTATTTAAAATAAAAAGATTTTCCTCTGTTATTATGCTCTATCCAGGACTCCTCAATTGGAAACGTTTTAGTTTCACCTGCTTTAATTTCATAAAAAGTCTTCTTTAAAGAGCCTTTGGCTATCCGATTAATATTAATTATTAATCGATTAATGGAAAAAAATAACCAACAAATTAATCAATTTGGAAAATAATCGTTAAGCCCTAAGTCAAACCATCAAGCAATCCAAGATCTCATCTTACAGCAGTATTTCCACATTTGGTGGTGAATGGCCTTAAATGTCACCATAAGAATTTTATATTGAATCCGGTACTGCACAAGGAGCCGGTGGAGCTGTCGGAGAACCGGGATGATGTGGTGGATAGAGAGAGTTCTTGTTATAATGTGGCCAGCTGAGTTCTGGACCAGTTGTAGTTTATAGAGTAATTTTTGAGGAAGGCCAAAGGGGAGAGAGTTACAATAGTCCAGTCAGGACGTGACGAGGCTGTGGACCAGGGTGGCAGCAGTGTGAGGAGTAACGGAAGGACGGAGGCGGTTGATGCTTCTTAAGTGGAAGTAGGCAGACCGGGTAATGTTATTGTAATGGGATTGAAAGGATAGGGTACTCTTGAGGATGACACCCAGACTCTTAACCTGAAGGTACGGTTAGATGGAGGAGCTGTCAATAATAAGTGGGAAACTGTCAGTTTTGGAAAGAGTTGATTTAGATCCAATAAGGAGAACTTCTGTTTTACTACTCTTTAATGGAAGGAAGTTGTTGGTGAACCAGGCTTTTATTTCAGAGATGCAATCTGTGACGGAGGTGGGAGGAAGAGAAGATGATGGTTTTGTGATTGAGATAGAGCTGGGTGTCATCAGCATAGCAGTTGATGTGAATGTTAAATCTGCGGAAGATATTGCCAAGGGGAAGGAGGTAGATGATGAAGAGGAGGGGCCCCAGGACAGAGTCCTGAGGTACACCTGAGGTGATGGGGGAGGGGTCTTCAGTTGAATGAACTGAGTACGGCCAGAGAAATAAGAAGTAAACCAGTCCAACAGGGTGTTAGTGATGCCAATCGAAGAAAGCCTACTGAGGAGGGTGGTGTGACAGATGGTATCAAAAGCTGCACTCAGGTTGAGAAGGATGAGGATAGTGAGTAACCCAGAGTCAGATGCCATGAGGAAGTCATTGGTGATTTTGATTAGTGCTGTTTCAGTGCTATGAAGTGGTTGGAAACCGGACTAGATTTCTTCATATAGGCTGTTGCTGCTGTTACTCTGGCTTTTGTTTGATTAAAGAGAAGCAGGGCTTATGAGAAACATGTTAATCCTTTTGACTGTGTCCAATCCCATGGAACTACTAAAGGAAACTTAATATTCATCTTAATATTTTAATAAAATTTACAAGAATCAATATAAAATTGCATCTGACAGGATTGTGACAGCTGAAATTTAAACCAGTTTTATCAGTGATGGATTCTGTATGTTACTGGTGCTTCAGTGCTCATTCCCAGCAATGATTAATGATGTTTTCCAACACGTCTCTGAGCTAACTGCTCCATAACTGATATCTCTTATTGTTCAAGGTCACGGATAAATGCTGCACTCACGTTACGGATTGCCTTTTACACCAAGACTGACAGGATGGAGCGGATTTCATCTTAAAACAAATACCCGCACATTTAGGTAATGCGCAAGGTCAATTGAATCTCCTTGATGTTAATGCTATTTGGGGGATTTTAAAAAATTAAAATCAACAGACTGGAACCAGAAGAGCAACGTAATCCAACAAGGATTCTGGAGCTTTTTAGGACTGAGAGGAAATTGTCAAAAAGTGGCACTAAAATACAGTATGACATAAAGCCTGAACAGTAACACCCCCTGACATAAATGCGCTCTGTAAAACAGTTAAACACCTTACATTATCTTACTGCAAAAAGAACTCAAACGTACCTTAAACTCGTATGATTCCTCAATGATGACCTCCAGTTTGACGTGATCTCCCAGCATGGGACGGCCCATTTCTGCTATACGCCGCTCCTCTTCATCTTTTCCCGTTAGTGGCTCTTCTTCCTCCCCTTCTGCCTTTGGCTTTTCCTCTGAAAAGATCACAGGAACAAATCAGATGGTAGAATTTGTTCAACGCTAGAGCGGGGGTGTCAGATCACGGTTTTGTAAGTAATCAGGAAGCCTTGATCTTCAAGGGTTCTGGCACAGAAACTTGGGATAAAAACTGCATTGAAAGGATTGAGATGATATTTTTGTTTTTAGCGGATGGATTTCTGAATAAATGATACATATGGAATCTTCTTTCTCAATCTATGCAGATTTGTGCATATACCTAAATTTAAGTATAAGGTCAAAGTATTAAAACTAAATAAATTACTATTCATTATTAAATAGCTTTTCAAAGCAGATTATTAAATAAAAAAACTGTTTAGGAAGAAGGGATCTGAAACAATTGGAACACTTCTATCGAAAGCCACAGTCATAGAAACAGCAGGGAGTAAAACACCTAGGGCAAGGAAGGGGGACAAAAGATGCTTTGTAGAAAAAAAGTCTTACCCTTATAGGGTTTACTCTTTAATACATGCTCTGTGGATACAGATGTCTGCTGAAATCCACGGATTGCATTATATAGAACCACTTTCCCTGAATGATCCTCCTACATGTTTAGATGCATTACTTAGATTTATCTGTGGCTTTCCTTTTATCTGTGACATTTTAGTGCTGCTGCAGTGAAGTATTCCGACTTCTATTCCATCTGCTACTTTAAGGTGGTTAAGCTAAACCCGAAAGTAAAACAGACTGATTATGTGGAGACTTGCATAACCACTGCAATGCTGACTAACATGGCTGTATGAATGTATCAACATATTTTACTATATATAATATGGAGACACAGTGTGGACAGGAACATGACAAAATGCCTTTGACTAGTGACAGCGTTGCTTAGAAACAAAGCAGAACATGTGCTGTTAGCCTGACTGCTTTCAGAAGTTGGATTTAGTCTATTTATTTTTGGGTTGACAGGTAAAACTTATTGTGTGTCTATGAACCAGTTTCTCACTTTGTGTTCACGTTGATACAATCATGTTGAGACAGAGAAAACACAATTAGTTTCTTTAGATGGCAATGGAGCCCTTTGCCTGGACTGATTTGACAATTTGAAGACAGATCTATCCTGGCACAGTTGAAGGACTACACTGCCTTGACCGGACTCCTCACAGGAGTCAAAAGTTTAAATCCTATAAAAAAAAATCACAGAATTACAGGGTCTGACCTGGAGATGAGGCTCCTATTTAGATCTTAATGTCCACAACTCTTGACAAAAAAAAATAGTTTAGTACAAATATTGATCTTTAAAAAGGATTTGAAGAGGGACCAGCCAAGGACCCATCATGGAAAGTAGGGAAATCTTAAATGGCTTCTACGTCGAAACAGTATTTAAAAAAATCAGCTCTACTTTCAGCTAAATTCTAAGAACAATCGGCTGTGTAAAAATTTATTTTTTGTTTGTAAACCTCTGTTAAGAATGTTCTTTAAAAAGGTGGGTACTTATTCATCAGTGGTGTCTAAAGCACATTTGACTACACCTCATTCAGTCAAAGCAGCTTTTTTAAAAGCTAGAAGAGATTTTTACTGCAGGAACGAGCAGCGAGCTGAGCTTTGCAATGCCAATTGGCTAAAAAGTCATAAAGTGGGTGGATGTTCATCATGTTTTGAACACAGAATGACAGGAGAGATGATGACGCAGAACCACTCATTCAATGACAGTATTCCTAAGAAAAAGTACAATTTAAAACTGAATGTTTACGTGGTTTACTCATTATGTGTAAATTAAAACTATCCACGTCGGTTAGAAGCAGCTCTGATCTAAAGAAGCTCCTCACATAATCCACACTGATTGATAGCTCGCTGCCTTTATTAACACATCTTACTTATTTTCTGAATGTTATGGTAAATTCACTTGCAAGGCTGTTTGGCTGTTCTTCCATGCAACAGCGCTGGGATTATAGCCCTTCCTTTTTTTCCTCTGGAAAAATGCAACCCTGGTTTAATTCTATTGCAAAACATATTTTATTTTTACCAAAAAGCATAATTTTTTTGTTTCATACCTATTTCCAGATGAAATCAATTTAATACTATGTTATTAATCCCAGAGGGAACTTCAGTTTTGTACACCCTGTCCAAATGTGGGGGAATACCGTGTCCGAAGCCTTGCTGCTATGAAAGGCGCTGCCCTTAAGACTGTCAACGTGCAAAAATATAAAGATTTTTAATTTGCTTTACTCGTCTTTGATTACATGAAAAAAAACAATTAGATCTACCTAAATATATTGTAACTCATGTGTCACATCACAACTTGAAATAGCGCAGATTACTTTCCTATGTTTCCCAATATGTGGTCATTTTGATTAATTCTTGAATTAAATATCATCTAACATCATGTCACAACTGTTCTTTCAGTTGCATCTAAAATAAGTAGTAGTAGTTACCTCCAAGTAGTTACCTCCATTGTGTAGTAACTGAGTTACCAAACTAGATGGCAATGGAATTACTGAATTACTCAGTTACTTTTCTAGAGAAGTAACTATTAAGTGTAAGTAGTTCTTTGTGTAAGGTAACGATCTGAGATTCTCCTTTATATTTAAAGGTATAGTGGAGGATGTCCTTTTTCTGGGTGGATCATCAAAATAAGTGGTCCTCCTAAATGTCAATCATTCTGGTGATATGTTTACATAAGGCCGTCCTACGTGCTCGTCCCCATTTTTTACTTACCAAAGGTGCGTCTGACATATCGGAAAAATTGATAATCTTTTTGAAAGTAAGCTTGTATGAGGGATGCAAACAGCAACTTTTAAACAGAGCGTGCACGAGGAGAAATGGGCTCATGTATGTTCTCGTACGCCGTTAATAGTTGTTCCCTATCAGGAGTGGGTACAGGGTTGTGCATTTGCATTTGTAAAGTGGGTCTTTACAAAAATGTAGAAAAATCCTCCAAGACACCTTAAAGTAGCCAACTGCGATCATCTTATTCTCATTTTTCCAACATAAAGCACATCTTTCCTCTCACCTGTTACATTTATGTAAAGCCTACAAACAAAGTGTATAAACAAATAAAAAGGTTTAAGCAAACTGTTGGCTGCTTTTCTTTGTCCGTGTTTCATTTCTTAAAGTTTCTGACCATCTACGAAATGTAATCCCCCCCCCCCCGTCCTCTCTTGCATTATGCCAGTGATGCTGCACTGATGAGTTTATCTAAAGTTTACATAAAATAACGTCATAAGTGCTAAATATAACTGAGGAGGACATAACAGGTTAGTATCACGGCGTAGTCAAAGTCATTCAGTGTTTACATTGTTTCAAAAGCATCTGTTGATGTCATGTTTGCTTTTGTCAGCTGTCAGCCCGCTTAGTGATGTTGCTTCATTTGTAACTTTATGTAAAGTGGGAACATCCGCAATAGTCACTCAGGACGGATTTTAATGCAAAGTCTGCTGATATCTGAATCTATAATCATGATATCTAAAATCATCATTTCAAATAATCACTGGTAAATATTTAAAATGGAGGAGCGGATAAAAAAAGACAAGAAATATTACAACTTCAAAAATAAAGCTTACAGGTGATGGACAAAAATATATAAATGTTTTAAAGAGGAAATGCTTTTAGATAGAAAACAGTCACAACAAACAAATGAGAAGCAGTCAGTTTTCCTCTGAATAGCAGTTCAGTTATGGACTCTGACTGACGCAGTATTTCAGTGCTGAGATTTCTGTATCATTTTTGAGTTTGTAAGTAATCTGAGGATTACTCTGGCAGCCATCAACCCCCCACCTCATCCCTGCGCATTGCTGTTTTAATATATTACGTATCAGTGTCTGATCCTCCTAAGCTTACTCCTGGTGACATGGGTATGATCACACTCAGCCCCTTTCCTATGTGTCGTATTACTGTTTTCAGAAAGTGAAGGTGTACTCATAGTCCCAGATAACAGTTATAAAGGTTACTCGCTCTGTTTGACATTTCCAGCATAAATTATTAGTGAGTAGAGCCATTCTGGGAAGCCTATATAGAGTAAAATCAAATCTGCGAACCATCTTATAAAGCACAGCACAGCTTTCTCTCTCCGACAATGTTTCCCATTATTCAATGGCATTTCTAACCATTCATCTTCAATAATGTTATAGATTCGTCTAGCAGGCTGTCCTCGAATCTTTACATTTATTACTTTATGTGCCATCAATACTATAAAACTGGAGGGCCTTGTCTTTGATACTGGTTGAATGCCCACAGTTCAGCATCAAGCTGACACTTTATAGAGTAATTTTTATGTCTTTATTAAAGAAAAAAAAGGGTGAAGAAAGGAAGAATCATTTTGAAAGTAAAATAAAACTATTAAAGAGAACTGTCTACACAGAGAAAAAGAAATGTTATTTGAAAACGATTTCCAAGGAAAAAAGCACTTTCAAAAATATTTTTCCCATGTGATTTTTTGTAATCTGAGTGAAAACAAAATCTCTGAAAAATCGATTTCTCTCTAACAACCTTCTTCTTCTCTTTCTCAAAGCTTAAGTCTTTGCTCTCGATTCAGGATTTTTCTCTCAATGTGAAAAATATGTTACGGGCAGGACTGTTTTCCTATTGTCCACTATCCACACTTGACAGCTGAGTGGTGAAATTAGGTGCGTCTGAGATTAAATGCGCATCGCCTGGAATGTGGACGAGAGCTTACAGCGGTGTTGATGGGCAGGTTTAAAAGTCTGTAATGAAGCTGGACAGAACTGTTTACAACTGAAGCTAGCATCACATTTGTTTTATGCAACTTATTGGTGGAAATAACACAACAACACAGCCTGTCTCTCGTCCCTATTCCAGGCGAGGTGCAGCTACAGGTGAAGCGAGGCATTCTGGGCAAATGGGGGCGTAGCCACCTGTAAACAAAATATCACCACTCAGCTGTCGATTCTGTTAAGACATGTCCGCACATGACAAGTTTTTCCACATTGAGAGAAAAATTCATTGAGAGCAAAGACTTTAATTTTTGAGAGAAGATACTTTTTCTCGGATTGAAAAAAAACAAAAAACATAAAAA